TGCCCTTCATTTTGGGCCGGGCGTCAACACTGTTCCGCCCCAAGACTCAGGCATCGGGTCAATGGGAGCACGCCAAGGTCGAGCTGGTGCAACAATCCTACATACTAGAAGTGAACTTCCTCTCCCATCTTAAGATACTTAGACAGATTTTGTTGTCGCTGCGTTGTGATTGGCGTCAGTGGTGCGTCATGCATGCTTTGAGCTGTCTTGCTGCCTTGCTGGCTGACCTCACTGATAGGTTTGCTGATAACCGGCAGAAGTCCTGAAAAGAAACATCCAGGTCCTCCCACTTCCGGTGGGCTTGTCAGTGTTCAAAATTCGCCTTGGCCGCAAAGGGGCCAAGGGCGCTCAGATCTCTTCTCCAAAAAGAATCTTCGCTTTTCCCCTCCTCCCCAACCAAAATTTTGCCGGGCCGCACCCCCCCCCCACCCATGTCGGCTGGCCCAAAATCCTGTCCGGCGGGCCTTGAAATTTTCGGGGTTCGTCGGCGCCAGGTTCATGGGTCCATTTTTGTCGAAAATGCTTTTTTGTCCTGAAAAGCATGACCTCGCTGGCCAGGCCTGTCTGACGTGTCTGAGACTAGGCTCAAGCCCAGCCCAACCAGCAACCCGCCTGCTGGCCAGGCCTGTCAGCCCAGCCCAGCCTCAGGCCCAAGCTTGTCTGAAACAGGCCTAGCCCAACCAGCAACCCGGCCCGTCATCCAGCAATAGGCCGGCCCGCAGTTCCCAGCCCACCAGCAGGCTCAGCCCAGCGTGCCAAGGTCGGTTTGTCTAACGTGTCTGAGACTGGCCTCAAACCAACGACCAGTCTCACGCTAAGCCTGTCTGACGTGCCCCAGCCCCTCAGTCCGGCTAAGCAGCTCAGCCCAGGCCGACCTCCTGCTCGCGTCTGGCCCCAGTCATCCAGCAGGCCCAGCCCCTTCGGCGCAGTCTGACACTCAGCCCGCCTGCTGGCGTGTCTTACGTGTCTGCGACTGGCCTCAGACCCAGCCCAGCCAGCAACTCGCCACCCAGCCTCAGGCCCAAGTGTGTATGAAACAGGCCTTGCCCATCCAGCAACCCGCCCAAGCACAGCTCAGCCCAGCCCGTAGTCCGGCTGCCCGGCAGCCAGCAACGGCGCATCTCAGGCATGCCAGCCACTAGGCCGGCCCCCAGCTCCCAGCCCCCCAGCAACACAGCCAACACGTGTCTGAGACTGGTCTCAAGCTGGGCCAGCTTAGTAAAGCCTGTCTGACGTGCCCCAGCCCCTCAGTCCGGCTGCCCAAGCAGCTCAGCCCAGGCTGGCCAGGCCTTGACCTCCTGCTTGCGTCTGGCTTCAAGTCATCCAGCAGCCCCAACCCTTTTGGCGCAGTCTGAGACTGGTCTCAAAGTATGCCAGCCTGAGACTAGCCTCAGGCCCAGTCCCTCAGCCCGCCTGCTGGCGTGTCTTACGTGTCTGCGACTGGCCTCAGGCCCAGCCCAGCCAGCAACTCGCCACCCAGCCTCAGGCCCAAGTGTGTATGAAACAGGCCTTGCCCATCCAGCAACCCGCCCAAGCACAGCTCAGCCCAGCCCGCCCAGCCCAAGTTCCAGGCGCAACCAGCAGCGTAGTCCGGCTGCCCGGCAGCCCATGGCTTCGCAGCCTCGTGGCTGAGACTAGCTTCAGCACGTGTCTGAGACTGCTCTCAAGCTACGCCAGCTACCAAGCCTGTCTGACGTGCCCCAGCCCCCCAGTCCGGCTGCCCAAGCAGCTCAGCCCAGGCTGACCAGGCCTTGACCTCCTGCTCCAGCCCTTCGGCGTCTCAAGGTATGCCAGCCTGAAAATAGCCTCAGGCCCAGTCCCTCAGCCCGCCTGCTGGCGTGTCTATTGGTACTTAAGCAAATGGAGGTTTGTATTCCCACCATGTACCTGTCTTGGGCTGAGCAACCGAGCAAGAAATATATGCCATGGCAAGCCGCCAGCCACGTGAAATGGAGGGGCCCAAACACCCAAAGTTGGTCTTGGTTGTTCAGTGACACCAATTATTGTTCCCCTTTTTATGGAGGCCAAGCCCCACTAAAAATGCTCATCCCCAGAAAGAGGTCCTTTTTTTTCCAAGGGCACTGAGCAGCTGAGATAGTCTTGGTTTTGGATTTCAAACCTTCCGAGCAGGACGGCTTCCGAACATCGAACTAGCACGGGCGAACTGGTGCGGTCACAAGCTTTCAGTAGGATTCGGACCTTCCCAGCACTGGATTTCGGTGTTCCTGACCCTTCCCTCAAACTAGGCTGGGCCGAGGCGGGCAACGCGAAGCGTTTACAATAATGACCCTTGGCAATCTTCTCAGGCGGATGGACCGGGAGACCAAAGCAGAATTCCCCAGAGCAGATATGTGCCGCCAGCTAGCTACGGATTCTAATCGGGAATCACCTCCAAAGCGGACAGAAAACATGTCCACCAAAGGGTCCTTTAGGTTTAAAAGGACAACCCAAACACCCAAAACACCGAGAAATACGTATGGCCACCCCCTTCGGTCCGCTTGCTTTCCGGGCAGCCAGGACCGGCGCAGCATCAGGCATCTTGGAGGCAATAGAGGCGGCCATGATGCCTAGAACCAGAGACAACCCCGCGTAAAGCTTCGTCCAGATGCACCTTTCTGGTTTCCTTCTTCTAAAAAAAGGAGGGCGGCTTGTTCGGATGTAGCCTCCAGAAGCGAAGCGGCCATGTGTTCCCATGTGATCGAATCCCGAAAGTGGGCCCTAATGAGTTTGTTCTTTGCGGCTACCCTTTGTTAGAGGATTTAAAGGGAAACCAAAAGGAAAACCAGCATTTTGGGCGGTCCCCTTTCGATGGCCACCAAAACGCCCGGAGATTCGTGGCGCAGGAATTGTCAATTCGAATCTTCCGGTGGCTTTTGATGTTTCTTTGAATGCTTCCGGGTGTGTGTTGAAAAGGGTTGAATAAACCTCGACCATTCCATACAAGTATCAGATAGTACGGAAGTCATTGGACAAAAATGAGCCAGAAGGCGATGTTCAGAGCACCCAACGAGCTTTCAAATATCTGAAGGGTTGATTCCCCACTCGCCTCACCCATCCTCCTCTTCAAAAACCGGACATTTAAGGAAAGCTCCCCCCCAAACAAAAACAACATATCCGGACACCCCTTGCTTCAGACTTTAGACCACCCAAAATCCAAACTCCAAGATCCCCACAACATCTCCCCGGTTCCCCCAAAGCGAGGCCGGAGCTTTCGGCCGAGGCGCTCTGGAAAGGCACCGCGGAGGAGGAGGTGCAGGAGATCACCGTGGGCAGCGAGTGGCGGTAGGAGTACACCAGCTGCGAACCCCCCGAGGACAGCAGGAGCAGCCTCGTGCAACGTAGGGGGCTGACCCCCCCAAAAAATGTTATCAACCCCCAGTTTAGGAGAATAAGGGGGGTGGGGGGTGGCTCCTCCAAAAGTGGAGTCTGATTCCACACATTTCACCCGGAAAGACAACCCCTACTTATCGACTGGGGTTGATTCATATGGGGTGAACATTACCGTGGATGTTTGCGGCATCCAACGTGCCACCCTTCCCAGATTCGGTTCCCCAACGTAAAGTCTTGTGAGATGGAGTCATGGGGAAAGCAGCCGTGAAATGTTAACTTGGAGCCAACCTTCCCCGTTGCTCCCCTCGTTCTGCACAAATTAGCTTGGCACCTCAAGCTCTTCAAGCCTAAAGTATGAAAGAGGAGATCTACACACACACACACACACACACACACACACACACACACACACACACACGCATACACACCCCAGCAGGATTGTAATGTAGTGCCGGTCAGCCGGAGCTACCCATTTTGTCTTGAACACCTTGAAGAAGGTGTTGTCTCAATCGCATGTGCTGTAAGTACCTGAGGCATGATTGAGTTGTCCTGCTCAACTTACTGTGTTGTCCTATCGCTTTTGTCAGAGAAGCGAACAATCAGAACCTCTTTGAGGCATGAAACAAAGGCGTCAGACACACTGCTTGACCAGACTAGACCCCCTGCCAAAAGTTGTTCTTGCTGGATAAACTGGAAAATGGTGGAAAGCAAAAATAAATAAAAGGGAAGCTAAGCCTGGCAATGTCTGGTTACAAAGCGCAGTGCATTCAGTGCCAAACATGCCTCCCTTCAACCCGAAAGCGCGGGGTTTCCAGCGTTCGATATGGCTCCGTCTGAGTGGCGTCATCATCAGCGTCTTGGATCCATGCAGGGCTTCTGGTGAGCAGTACACCAGCGCGAAGCTGACGTCTCGGAAGATTACCAGCACACCCGCCAGGGACCCGGCGACTGCTGACCTCAAATGTGAAGGTTCCAAAATTGACACTGAAAAAGAGCGACAAATCGTATGTGTCTCAAAACGAAACAACTTGAGTTGCACACCATGCAACATGACCGATCCCTTCAAAGGCTAAGCCCCAAGCGACAGCAGCGTGCCATTTGGCATCACGTGGACCGTCGAAGCAAACAAAAACAAACTGGTGTAGGTTGGGACTTGTTGCGGCCGCCCTTAAAAAGTCAAAGGGCCCGGCAAACAAAAACTAACAAAGCGGTTTGTTGCCGCAGCAAGCGTTTTGCATTTGTTTTTGTTGCTCTGTCGTTGCCCGTTGGCACTAGAGAAAATATACCATGCGAACATGACGCCTGAAACTGCTCCATTTCTGCCTGCCGCACGTTTTGCTCTGCACAACTTGGGGATTCCGCTTCATGTTTCGGATCGCCTGCTCAAGGCGCATTTGAAGAGACTAAAGCGATTCCGCGGTCGTTGCTGTGGGCCACACTGGCTATTCGGCGGCGAATGGCTCGCAGTCTGGTCTGTAAGGCCTGCACGTACAGCTTCCATGCTCAAAGCACCAATCAATTGACAGCTCATTGATATAAAGGAAACTCGAAATTGACAAGAACTCCTCAAAACCACCCACGACACCACAATGCCCCAGAGCTGCGGGTTGCCTTTGAACGGCCCAGCCATCGCATCCCGGTCATCTTCAGCTACCCTGCCCGCCCCGCTCCTCCAGCAGGTCCCCCAGCAGCGGCAGCGGCGCCTGCGGCGCCTCCCGCGCCACCACCCGCGCGCTGGCCGTGGAGAGCCGGACATTGTCGGCGCCTCCAGCGCCACGTCGCTCCGACGGTCCGAGTGCGGCACATGCGCCGTCCCTCAAACCAAAGATGCCCAAAAACCGCCCGACCCGTATTTAGGTGGTTTGGTTTGGTGGACGTTGGGGGCTACCTTCCCCCGCTGCCCTTTGGTTTCCAAAGGAGCTGGGGTTCAAATCCCCACCACTCCAAACCAATTCAGGGCGACCCAAAACTCACAAACAAAAAAAGGGAACGACCAAAACAACCAATCCAAACGGAAAAACCAACAAGCCGTGGCTGCGCGCTGTCCCCAGTCACCTCTCCTTCCGAGCCGCGGAGCGTGGCCAAGGCCTGCAGCGCCGTGGCCAGGTCCGAGACGCCCCAGGCGTCCTCGGAGAGGCGCAGATGCGCCAGCCTCTGCAACTTGGGAACGGAGGCTTCCATTTGCTGAACGGTCTGGCGGCTTCCATTGGCTGAAAATGGAATAGGTGGTTGTTTGGTGGTGCTTTGGTGCTTTGCGCCAAATTTTGGGGGGGGGGTGCAGGCAGGGCAGGCAAGGAGTGCAGAAAAACAAAGGTGGGTTTCTCGAAATACTTGCTGGTTCGATAGGCAGAGAAGGAGAACTGGAATGGCCCCGATTTAAGCTATCCAACTGGTGGTTAAGGGGACCAAAGCCTGGGTTCATTCCTAAATACCTGTCGCACCAGCAAGATAACGGGGTCCATTGCCTGGCTTGATCTAACAAATTGGGTTCCGAGATCGAATGCTGCAACTTGACGGTTGGTTGAGCTGATGGCTGTGTCTCTTAAATGAGGCAACCCCAACACTGCATTTGAGTTACCTTTGAGTTCCCTAAAAACCAAGCCCGAAACAGGTATCAGCCTGGGTGATTTAAGGTTTGCTCGAAACCCGTAGTTTCAAGCTTAAAGCTTGCACCCCCAAACTGTTCAAACCACCACCTTGTGGCGTCCCTCTTAAGAAAGTCTGCGGGGCGAGTTAGCAAGTGTCGAAAAGGCGGCCTGCCGACGCAAGGAACCCAAAATCTCTTCGCAAAACCCGAAGGACGTTCCCTTGTGTGGTCCTTTGGCTCGGAGCACCTTTCTTGGGAGCGAGGAAACCGGAACCTCGAGTCCATACAGGTTCGTCAAAGTGGGCGAATTGGTATTGCATCCCTCGTTGGCGGAGTGGTCTTCATGAAGCTTCTTGTGGACTGGTGTCATTCTGAGATTTGAGCTATCAAGACCAGGCAGACAGGCGCCATTGCCATCATTTATAGCGTGGCCATTGGATGCTCAATCATCCCTTCGTGTCAGTGTGGTTGCTTGCCTTTCACAGGACGGCTCCGGTCGGCCGAAGCTCTGCTGATCAGATGTTGTTCGGGTTCGACAAGATCATCTTACCCCTGATTCATGGCTGTAAAGGGGTGCAGAAAAAGCGAACGGGAAAAACCGAAAACAAATTCAAACAATCAATATGGTTCTTTCCCTGACAAGTATGGTAAATTCCCTTCACATGGACGGGGAGCAAGAACTATCCGCAACAGTGATCCTGGGCGTGCGGATGGTCTGATTGCTGATGTCCGCAACTCTCAACACGGCTCTCTGGGGGGAAGTATTTCAAGCCAAACCCTGTAACCGAGGCCTTTCGGCGCTATGCCCAATGGGCACGAGTCTACTTTGCAAGCCCCAACCCTGATTATCCAACCCCGTGAAGAATGGGTAAATATGTTCAGGTGACCCTTACTTGGTGGTTTGGGTTTGGATTTGAGCCCCTGCCCTTTGTAAAGGGTGGGAAACCACGCCCTTGACCACCGGGCTCCAAACCACCGTTTGGGGGGAAGCGAAACACAACTTCGCAAAGCCAATGCCTTGAAGGCCTTTGGAAACTGAAATGGAGGTTGATCAATATTCCTGCCCCCCAGTCTCATCTTTTTAGTAGATTCCCCCAATGGTAGTCCCGCGTAAAGGAACTTTTCTCCAGCCCCGAAAAAGGCAAAACCCAATATTTTCTAGGCCTTTCAGGCCCTTCACCGTCCGGCCTGAGAAGGCCTTTCTCCGAGTGCAGCATCCGCACGTGGGAATAGAGCAAAGACGCCACGTGGGCTGCGGTCAGTTCCTAACAGGCAGGAACCCCAGGCCCCAAATGGCTCTCGTAGACTCATAGAAACCCTGAATAGGTGGGTGTTCAAGTGGTGGCCTTAAAAAAAGTAACCCCAAAATTGGTACCCTCAAAACAAAGACTGGGTTTGATAAGACACTTTTTTCAGCTGCCAAGAACAAACCGAAAGCAACATTTGGACAGGGCCAGGCTGGGCCAACATGGTGAATTGTGGCCAAGCACAAGGTCGTGACGCAAACTTGCCCCAAACCCCCAGCTGCGCTCCTAATGGGAACCCCTTGAAGATGCTTCACCCACAGCCTGACCCGGTTTCGACAATGCTCCAGGTTCAACGATTCTGGCGGAAGAGTCACACCTTCTGGTTGGGGATCAAGAGGATCAACCCCTTTTGCAAACGCTTTCGCTTTTTGGATGCAAACATCAAGGAGGTCAGCTGAAAACAAGCCCATGTAATTGATGAGTGAACAGGTAAACAGGTTGGTGTACGTCTCCTTTCCTGCTATACCGTACAGGTATTTGGAGTTCGGTCATCCTTTGTTCTCGCAAACTTCCCTGGCAATCTTGCTGCCTGTGCTAGAAACCCTCTCGAACCAGTCAAGTCCCCTCTAAAAACCGGCCCAACTGCCCACTTTCTTTGGGCTAAGTCGCCAAAAGCCAGACGGAGGAAATTGTTTTGCGTCTATTTTGTTTGCAGAGCCCTTTCGTTTCTGAACGCGCCCCACTCCTACTTGCTGCTTTCCCTGGGGGATTGCCTGCAATCGCGCGAATACCCTGGAAGGAGTCCTCTGGAGACGACTAGCCCCACAGCACAGATGGGAGAGCAAATTGCTGCGAACTTACCCACCGCCCCCGAGGGTTGCCAGCACCCCCTTTTCCTTAGGGTAAAGGTTTAGGGTTTAAGTTTAAGGCTTAGGTTCAGGGCTCAAGCATTTCAAGCCGTAGATTTTTCAAAGCGAAGCTCATCAAAAGTTTCGATCTTAATCCCACCCACCCAGGACCCGCTTCCAAGCGCCAGCTTCCACACGCGGCCAGCGCAACTCAACGCACCAGGCGCTCTTTTGCGAGCGGCGGGCGCGCCGCGGCAAAGTTCCAAAAGTCGGGAGCGACAGCAAGCGGCGACCGACGAAGCAGCTGACAGGCCGCGGCAGGCGGCAAGCAAGGGCAGAGAGCGAAGCCAGGGATCTCGGGCCTGAAGGAAAGCAAGCCCGGAATTTTTTACAGAGAAAGTTTGCGAGGGAACAGCGCGAGCTTGAAACTTGCCCTCGCGCAAGCCCTCAGAAGCGTTTCAGAAGCAACTCCAATCGCCGTGCCACAGCAGGGGCGCTTTGATCCGGCAAGTCCATCAGAACCGTGTTTTCGATGGCCGGAAGTGGAAAACCACGGCAGGGGCGCGAAAAACTACGCCTGGCAGCCTGAAACCGCTACGGGGCCACGACAAACAACAGCGCGCGCCAGGGAGGAACCGAGCCCGGGACCACCCGCTTCAGAGACGGACGCAAGACAGGCCACCAGCCCCGCGGCGGGGCCCCGGCGCGCCCGCGGCTAAACTGCGGCGCCAAAGCCCCAGCCGGAAAAAGCACGCAAATTTAGCGCGGGGCACATTTTGCGATTTTGGCCCCGGACTTGGATTCGAGCAGCGAATCAGATTTACAAGCTTGCAAGACACACGCAGAACTTAAAAACAAGCTTCGAGAAGCCCCAGTGTTAGGCGCACCGGCGCGACCGTTTTTGCTTTAACTTTTAAATTAATATTAAAGTGATTAGAAGTTAGGTTTAGATTTAGGGTGTAGGTTCAGGGTTTAGGTTTAGGGTTTAGGTTTAGGGTTTCGGGTTTGGGTTTAGGGTGTTTGGTTTAGGGTCTAGGTTTAAATTTAGTTCAGGCTGAGGGTTGAAGTTTAGGGTGTGTGTTTACGGTCTAGGTTTAGGTTGAAGGTCTGGGTTTAGATCTTGTTCAGGCTCTGGGTTGAGGTTTGGGAAATCGCAAGCTCCGTCGAGTCCGCGCTGTCATGCGGGGCGGTGGCTGCGATTGTCCGCAGTTGTGAGAATCTCTCACAGGTCCTTCGCAGTGAGACCAAGCGCTGCGAGAGCAGGCTGCTGCAGATACTTTGGGGAGCTAGAAAATACAACGCCTGAGTCAGGGTCAGTGCGGTGGAAAAATTGTTTATGTTCCGGCCCGTGCACTACTGATACGGCAGCGCGGGGCGAGATTCCGGGCAACCGCGGCGACTTCAGGCGCAATCCGGAAGTGTCCCCTAGAGTGCGGGCGATCTTCTTGTCGTTTGCCCCGCACCCAGTTCATCCCCATAACATTCCTTCATTAAGCGGCAAACGAGCTCATCTGTCGGATCTTGCGCCAATGGGTTGTCATTTGGCTCTACCTCTTGAGATCGGCCATTGTTGTGGCTGGGTATCCGCAGACGTCCCTATCCGCTGCTCGGGCTCGAGATTCAACGCAGAGACGTGACTGAAGCTCGCGGAGGCTAGGACTTAAGAGGCCTGCCCTTCTCTTGCAAGATCTCGTGGCCTCTTCGTTGTTGGCTTCCTTAGAGGCCAGTAGGCCTCATCCACAATGCTGCGATGACTGCCTCCGTCTTAGCTTGTGACAAAGCCTCTTAGTCTTTGCTGCGAGTGTTCACGCGGATGTCTTTCTGTGCGAAGGTCTGGCTAAAGCGATCATTGGGCGAGAAGCTGCGCCTTCAGCCTGTCCTTCGGGGTCAACAAGCCCTCCGAGCGCCGGTCCGCCTAGTCAAGGTTCATGCTCTTCTCCGATAGCTGCGCAGCAAGCCCGGTGCAGCACGCGAAGTGGAGCTCGGTCTGTCGGAGCCACCAGCTCACGGCCACGATGAACTCCAAAAGGTTTGGGGAGCAGCCTGGCGCTGAACAAAGCAAGGGGACGCAGGCAGCACAGCGCGCTGTACGATACCTCGCTCGTCGCAGATGCTTCCGCGTGTTCACCCAGCCTGCGTGCAAGCACAGTGGGGGAAGTCGACTTCTCTGGTAAAAACTTTGTCCGGTTTTCGTGAGACTTGGCCCTAGGACGTGATCTTGGGCGCGGGCTGTCTGGCCAGATGCGCTCAAACATGAAGCAGCACATGCTGCTGTTCAACTGTTCAACACCTGCTACTGGCGCACTGTCGCGCAAGGCTATGTCATCTGGCTCACGCGTTTTCAGGGGCGCCACGATCTCCTCAATCTCCTTGGTCTGGTCATTTGCGCAGCAAGACGTGTCGTTGTAAGTCCGAGTGGCCAATGGCGGTGGCCACGTCGACGCACTCGGCCAAACAGGCTTTGTCGATCCAGTATCGAGGCAACGTCAAGCCCCCAAACCGGTAGCTGCACACCGCCTCGTCGAAGGAGAGCCGCGCTCGGTTGTAGTTTAAGAGATTGGCTCGGATTCCTTTAAGGGTCGCCTCCTGAAGCAGCTGCGTGACTTCACCGCTTGCGCGGCGGCATCTCCCGCGTTGTCTGGGACGGCCAAAGACTTTGTTCGCCCAATCACAATCAGGTGGCTCTTCCTGGCGCAAGCTGACAAGCCAATCAGCGCTGTCGGCTGTGCGTTGACGCCACTGTGCGTGGAGAAGCGTGTGTTGTGATTCCTGACGACGATGCACAAGGACAACACCAAGCTGCGACTGAGCCAACGAGAACTAATTCCACGTGCCCCAACAGATAGGTGCCCGCTCTGCCCCGCGAGCGTGATTCTGTGAGAGTTGTCTGATCGAACGGCTGATTCGGCTTTTGTCTGTACAAACTCCGTAAAAAAATGTATCCCGCGCTAGCGCAATTCCTCTGCACAAGACTGTAGGGCCTGAGCTAAAGCTGGCCCCAAACTTACTTGAGGACACTGAACGTCGCATGACTAGTCAACAAAAGGGGAGTGAAGCGTGTGCGAGTTAAGCGGCTCAAGGAAAGCCAGCTGCTTCCAATAGGAAGACCGCGCACGCAACAGGCCCTCCCGATTCAACAGCTTGTCTAAGGCCTTCTGCAGCGAACATCTCAGGCCAAGCTCCGAGTCCCAGAAAGAAAACGGCTGCTTCTAAAACCAGCCAGCCCAGCCGCCCAGCCCAATTCTAGTTCCTGGTGGCTCTGGCCTCAGCCCCTAAAACTTTGCTTGGCCCAGCTTCTTAGCTCTCAGACTACTTCTCTCGTTCTAGCCCCAGAAGCCATGTGGACACGCGCGAACATGCGCCCGCCATATATCTTGCAAACCTGCTCACGCATTTCGGCGCCAACTCACTCACTCAAGCAAACACAACACTTCAAGGCAAGCCACAACGCGGTACCTCAAAGCCAGCCAAAAGCATCTGGCCGAGGCGGGCAACGCGAAGCGTTTACAATAAATGCAACTTGCCCTACTGCCTGTGAAGGGGTGAGGCTTGCAACCCAAACAAATGTGCGGAAGCAAGACCATGCGTTTTTGGTGATGGGCAAGTCAAATGAGCAAAGGTTTTGGCTCAGTGTTTAAGCAAGCCTGAGAGGGGCGGCCTTTCGCCTGAGGTGTGTAGAAACCTGACAGTTTTCTCCCTCTCAAATGGCTTTCCCATTCGCCCCATAGGCCGAGCGTCTGGCGCTCGTTCCTCTCGAAGCAGGTACCGCGTGATGACCTTGAACAGGGCTGTGTCCCGCGACCGCAGCTGGGCAAAGGTGTGCAGGCACACGCCTGAGGAGTTTGGAGAAAGACAACTGCTCGGGTACAGGAACCCAAAATGGTTCTTACTTCAAACAGACCTCAGACTATTACTTCACAACAACTTAACATAACCTGCCAATGTTCACCGCCGCATGTCGTCGGATCAAGAAGTTTAGGACCCCAAAAGAACTCGGGGCAGTCGAGCATGTTGTGCTCGAATATCCAATGAGACGACCTGCGCGTTGCATTTCTCTGAACTTCAGAGTGGCCGTCACACTTTCCGAGTTTCAGCGATGCGCTGATGCAATGAAATGCCTTTCCAGCTCTTGTTGGTATCATGTCTGCCAATCAGCAGTGATATTTCATGTACCCTCAACTCTTTGAAGCAGCAAAGTGAACCGCGTAGCATAATACAGTGTAACCGAATAAGGATAGAACAACGTGAGAAAGCACGAGATAAGCTTATGCTGCTCTCGGGCAAAGCCATGGAGAATGTCAAATAAGTCTTCTGGTTGTTTCATGTTCAACCCGAATGTGGTATGATGTTTAACCGGGGACGCTTTGCTGGACATCATTGAGGTGCGAAGTCATGTCCACCAACCACTTTGGAGGTGGTTCCCTAATAGAATTCAACCCAAGTCTGGTATACTTGTCCGGCAAAAAACAAATCTGCGGCAATCCCCCGAAACGCAATCCCTAACTTCATTCACGTCTATGTCAAAGCGGGTGAGATGTGCATTAGACCAGCGTTCACCCCAAACAGCACACGTGTGTAAGGCATCAAGCTTGGACAACAGGCCTTCAAGTTCAAAAGCAGTACCAAAGACGATTGAACGCCAAGGACACGAATCCCATGACCGCCTCCAAGTTTGATGCCCCAAAACCCCAATATGACCCAAGGAGACACCTAAGAAAGACATGGGTGTGTCTTTCTCTTGAGGGCAATTGTCCTGTCTGGACTGGTTTTAAAGGTAATCAAAAGGACATGTTGAGGGTCCCCCATTTTGGGACAACCCCCCCCCCTCACACGCACCGCGGAAGAAAAACACGCACACACACACACACACACACACACACACACACACACACACACACACACACACACACACACACACACACACACACACACACACCGCCAGGCCGCACAGCGCGGAAGTCTCGAGCTGCGGCAACTTCTCGGGGATATCCTGCCGTTGGCGCATGAGCTCGTGAAAGAAACTTCGCTGGAGACTTCCTTCTACTCCCCCCCCCCAGATGTTAATGAGGGCAGAAAGACATCCCCACAAAAACATCACCCTCTCAACGTTGACCATAAAAGAGCTTCGTCAAGAGAAAAAGATGTGCTTCCAAGATCTGTCAACGCTGGCTTCGTAGCGTTAACATTTGGAAGGGTTCCAACCATTGGCCAAAAGCGTGGCTCTTGCGGCGTTTGCCGGCGACAACCAACGAAAGAAGATCCGACATCAGCCGCACCGTCTGCCCACAAGTGGCCCATGTATGCTGGAAGCTGCAAATGAGTTCCTTATCTTGTATAAAACAAAACTCCTGCACTGTACATGGGCGAGCCCGCGCACCGTGGAAGTGCAGCAGGTTGAATTGGACAAGCAACACGACCGCCATGGGCAGGACAGGCAATTGAGTGCAGCAGGGTGGGATGTGATTGGATTGCGCACAGGTTTGCCTCCATTGGCTTGAAGTACGGTCTAAACAGAGAACAGGCAAGAGCTTGGTGAGCTGTTATCGTTTGTCCATGGGTGGCAGTACTCGTAGGTCCAAATTGACAAGCGGTCCAAATTGACCTGCCATGTTTGCCTGTGCAACTATCCACAGAGCAGGACGTTGCACTCCAGGCTCCCAAGCAGACACAGACGACGCAAAATCCGTGAAGGCAGGTTCTTTTGAGAGATGGCGCCTTGATTTGGGTGTGGGTGAAAATCAAACCACCGGGGGACCGCAGGTTTTAGTCCTTGGTTCCACTTACCAGGGTTCCATGTTGGGGGTACCCGATGTTTGACCCGCAGCCATTTCATCCCCCCAAAGCCCCCGAGGCTTTCGGCGTGCCTTCCCCAGCTGCTCCAGCAACCTCCGCGGGCGGCGGCCCGCACGCGCACAGGCGTGCAGCACCTGCCGGGCTGTGCCGGGCCTCCGAATCTGTGGGCCCCGGCTGCCTTGGGAATGGGTGTTGGGTTCTCTGGATTTGTGGCGGGGTTAGGGTTGGTTTAGGAATGGGTTGGCAACAGGTTGTTTTAGGGGTGGTTCAGGGAGAGTTTAAGGTTGACAAAGGTTTGGTTTTGGTTTTTTCCCCCCAGGGTTCATGATGTTGGTTCAACCTGGATGTTGCTATAGTGCCAAAACGGCAGCAAGCTCATTCTAACCAAGAAGCAAAAAAAGACACGCCGCCCTTGCCAAGAAGCCAGAATTAAAAGAACCGGAAACTAATATTGGCAATGAAAACAAAAGAGACCACCTGTAAACATCCGTGAAAAACGTTATGGTTTTCAAAATTACCCTGTTCCTTCTTGCGAAAGACCCTGCCTCGCGAGGCTTGACACTTGGGGCTTTTGCAAGCTTCACTCCTTTGTTTCTGGAGGCTCGAAGGAAAGCATTTCGCAGCACAACGTTGGAAAGATATGGGCTATCCGCTCACACCCTCAGATGCCTTGACGAGTCAACCAAAGAAAATATCGCTAAAGAACGAGTGCACTTTCGGTTTTCCAGGTCATGTCTGGGTTTGGAAGGAAGGCCGTCACTCTGCGTCCTTTTCCTTTGAGCTTGCCTGGAACAGCCAGACCCCCAGTATCGGGGCTCCTTTCTGGTCTTGTGAGTTGACTGGCTGACCCCTGGGAAAACAGATCTGTTTTTGCAGCCACCATCCCCCTCACCAACCGCCCAGCCCCTCCAACCACCCACTCCACCGCACCCACCGCACCTTCCTTTTTGGGTGGGTTGTGGGAGTTGAACATCTCCACATCTGTGTCTGCCCCCCCCAAAAAAAAAAAAACAGTTTCCCTTTGGCGTCCCTACAAACCCCAAAATTGGCTCCAGTACAGAGGCCAAAACGGCTTTGACCCACAGCCAATTGGGTATCAAAAAAAAGGGGCCGACCCCCGCCGCCTGCACAATCTCGCGGCCCTGCCAGGCGCCGCAGCCCGCCACCGCCTGCTGCTCGAAGCGCGCCCAGGCCTGGCTCTCGAAATGCGGACGCGGCCACGTGGCTGTGGGTCAAACATCGGGTAACCCCAAAATGGGACCCTGGCAAATGGAGAAGTAGACTAAAACCTGCGGTTTTTCTAGGGTGACTTAATTTTGACCCATACCCACATGTCACGGGCAGACAAAGGAAGGCCAAGGCTTCAAGGGAAGCCAAAAGGAGAAACCATTCGACGCATGAGAAAAGTATGGAGTCCTCTAGCCTTTTCTGGAGCGTGTCCCGATCGTCCCCGATAGGCCATAGACTGGACTGAAACCACCCACACAGCCACCCACCCACCCACCCACCCACCCACCCCACCCCACCCGCCCACCCACCCACCCACCCACCCACCCACCCACCCCACCCGCCCACCCACCCACCCACACGCCCACCCACCCACACGCCACCCCACACCCCACCCCACACCCCACCCCACACCCCACCCCACACCCCACCCCACACCCCACCCCACACCCCACCCCACACCCCACACAGCCACCCGCCCACCCACCCACCCACCCACCCCACCCCACCCGCCCACCCGCCCACCCACCCACCCACCCACCCACCCACCCACACAGCCACCCACCCACACGCCCACCCACCCACACGCCACCCCACCCCAGCCACACACACAGCCACCCACACACCCACCCACCCACCCACCCACAAACCCACCCACCCACCCCACCCCACCACCCCACCACCCCACCCCACCCCCACACACACACAGCCACACACACACAGCCACCCACACACCCACCCACCCACAAACCCACCCACCCCACCCCACCCCACCCCACCCCACCCCACCCCACCCCAACCCAACCCAACCCAACTCAACCCAACCCAACCCAACCCAACCCAACCCACCCCACCCCACCCCAACCCCAACCCCACCCACCCAGCCGCACGCACAGAGCCATGCGCCCCCCCTCAACACCCCACTGCGCTCACCTCATCGCCGCCCTCCGCCAGCCCAGCGAGGTCCAAGTCACCCGACACGCGGGCGCCCGACCTTGAGCAAAGGACGCGCCACAAGCGCAAGGCGTGCGCCGGGTGAGGTTGGGAAGCGGGGCCCAAGTGGAATCTATGCCAAGCAAGGTGTCTTTTTTGGGGCACTTGTTCATTGATTGAAGTTTCACATATCACATGAAGGAACCAACATGACTGCAACTGCAACCTTCAAGGCCAACAGCCGTATAAAAGGCACCATGCAAGTTGCTCTGATAGGACATGCTGGACCCGCACACGCCACACTGCTGGGATGGCTGTTTGACGGCTTCGCCCGAAGTCACGTCAGACTGACAGACACACACAGAAAGACAGGACATGACAGGACAAAGAGGCAGGCAGGCAGGCAAACAAACAATCAGCTGGGCCTCGGGCCGATGCGCTTGAAACTCCGTGCTATTTTTTCGGATCCTCGAAGAACGCCGCTTTGACAGGCCAGTTTATAGCGGAAGGGAGGCTCACGCAATCTCAATTTTGTGGATTGGGCAAAAATCATCCGCTTTCCAAGAATTGCAGGGAGCCATTGCAGTGCCTACTTGTTGCTTCATTGGCTTGGGAGTTCGCTTTCGCTCAAGGTGGGAGACCTGGGAAAATCGCATCTTCAACTGACGAAGAAACAGAGAGGTTCAGCAAGGTTTCCATTTCCCTTTGTGGAACCTCCAAAAGTGAGAGTTTGAATGGGCACCACCCGGGAATGGTACTCAGTGAGCCACTGTCTTGCCCGACAATTTGCACAGGCCTCAACTTTGGAAGCTCCATCCAAGGGAAGGGCATCTTCATTTTCGGGGGAAATCGAAGCCATCCCCAGGAGAAAGCCAAAACTTCATGAAGGTTCAGAGGCGCCTTCTCAGGCAGGGGTTCTGATCGAGCTCGTGTGGAAGGTAGAGATGGCTTGATCTTGTCTCTCATTGCATCCTTTCTGAGGGGCAACTTACATCTGGAGCACTCCATCTCAGGCTTCGAATCAACGTCAGGCACGGAATCTCAAAAGCAAACATTCTGCGACTGCTGTTGAGTGTGCTTTTGGGAAGGAAACACTTGCAAAGTCTCATTTTGTCTTCTCTTGGTTGTGGGAATGTCCCACTTTTGCGATGGCAATGAAAGGCCTTCCAAACGACGAATCTTAGGGGGTAACGCTTCGGTGGCATCGATTCCCACAACCCTGAAGAGCAGTCATTGGAATTCCCCTTCAAACGTTGAAAGGCCACTTCTCCACCTAAATGTTGGAAAAGGGGTACAATAGGTAAACTCCATGACCTGTAGAATGCGCATGTTGCTTGCTTCTTCAATGACAAGCCCCGGTCTCCTGCCTCCGAATTTGGGGGGCTCAGGTCTCTTCCAGTGCCGACCAGGCGCGAGGCCAGCGGGAGGAAGGCGCGCCACTGGTGGCCCACGAAGGCCTGGGGGGCGTCACTTTGCGAATCTTGTTAAAGCAACTGGCCCCAAACCTCTATGGGTCTATGGGGTATTATATTAAGTCTTACTGATGTGGGGTACCCCAAGTATGACTAGGCCATATGTTCTATACTAGGTCCTCCAGTACAGAGGATAGAATAAGGGTACCCGATTTTTTTCTGCAGTCCATTTTAGGGGACCTAGTTGTTATCAAAGAAACTGGCTCTAAACCTTTCTGGGGTGGGGCGGCTTCGGTTGCACCAACCACAAGTGGACAGGATTTTAACCCACTCAGCTTCACAGATCAAAAATGAGGGCCTTCCGGCCCCCCGGGAAGCACCAAGAAGGCAAACCAAAAGATGTTCGCCAGAACAGGAGAACGAACACAAAAATGGAGAGCGGTCGCAAACTCGAGGTCCGGCCACTTGAGCGGTTTGCCAAGCTGATTCCGCTCCAAGTTCCTGTCAGATCGCATGGAGGATCCCTTGCGATCCTCCGTGTTAAAATATAATGTTTGCGAGCGCGTTGCCACCAGTTAAAAGTGCTTTCTGCTCCATGCGGCGCTTGTTTTTCAAAATTGCCCGTCTGCACAAACCAACCGTTTACAAAAGAACTTCAGGGTTCCCTGCACTCCCCCCAAGGAAAATCACGTCCGACTGGCCTCAAAACCACCCTGCAAAAGAAACTTGCTGAAACAAGTTAGTGCTGTTTTGAAGGGAAACCAAAAGGTCTTGAGGCAAACGCCCAAAACACGACACCCAGGCCACGGCTGAACCGTTTCTTGTCGGTTCCCTTTCGGTCCCAAACGAAGGCGGTTGGCCTGCGCGACCGGCACCCGCAGCAGCCGCGCCATTCGCGAAACAAAGCATGGGGCCGGGCGCTCGTTGGTGCCGAGGTTGGATCGGCATGGCCATTGGAAATCCTGGTGCGCAAAAAACTAACTTTGCCGTCCCCTTGTTGTCTCGTCACCCAAAGCCAGTTGATGAATCATGTTCGCATCAGCTGCATCTGAAGTTCCTCTGTGCTGACAGGCCTGGGCTGGCTGTACCAGGGGTGTGTTCACCTCACCATAGAGCTGAGCATCCTCGATGTCTTCGAACATACTGGACCGAAAGCAGCGACATTCACAACGCTCACAGCAAGATGCATCTGTGCAGAACGACTCACCATTGCGTGTTCTGCTGTGGCTATCTGCCTCGCTAGAGTGGGCAAGCGAAACAGGGTTGCTCCCACGGATGCAACTGGAAACTTCGCAGAACCCGCAGCCATTTCCCGTGAGTCCTGGAGCTTAAGTCGTGAGCAATCCTCAGCACAGCCTCGCGGCACGCCTCCTTTTCGTGGGCGCTCCAAGGGCTTTGCCCACTGACTCCAAGGCCGGAAGCCGAGGAGCCAGAATTCTCGTGATGCCACATCTATTCTGGCCCAAGCCAAGTTGTTTTTTGCTATTTCCGGGCGTCAATGACCGAATGGTTTTCTCCATTGGGGGCTTCGTGGGTCCGATCCGATGTCCTTTGTTTCCCACAACGAGCCACTCGGTGACCAAAAACCCACGAAACCAGACATGACAGGCTGATGGCTCTGGCGTGGCTCGCGAGAACTTCCTGGTGTCAGGCCAGGACGTCCAAATGGCTGGACCTGTCTTGCCTCGGCACAGGCAAAGCGAGCCCTTTGCGGCTCTTTGCGGCTCGGCGGGGTTTCCCTTGAAGCTGCAGCGGGTCTCACATGGACGGAAACCCATCAAATGGGCTTCGTGTTGGTGTTGGATTTGTCGGATGGGCTTCGTGGTGGGCTTCCTCCAGGCGAAACCAAACCAACCCGTGCAAACGCGAGGCGAGCCACTTGGAAGAGTGGGAGAGATGTGGATACCCCAAGGAGGACATAAATTGAGCCCATGGCAATGTTTGGTGGAAGCGGCTTGAACACATCAGTGGTCGCAAGCAGTTTATCATTGCAAATGTGAGACCCAACATGATAACATGCTGAAATACAGTGCGAAACACGTTGAGTGGCCATGCTCATTGCCCCAATCATTCGCCCGCCCACTACATAATTTGTGGAGACCTGGAGCTCAGCCCAATGGGTTCGTTCTTTCGGCTTTGCCAGAGGGGAAAAACATCCGCCGAATCGAGTGAATCGGATTGAGCGACAGCACAGGGTCCCGTGACATCCCTTCCCATGGCCAGCAAGGCACTGGCATGCTGCGAAGTACTTCTGCTGCTCAATCTGCAGAACAAAGGCGTCTGTGAGGGCAACAGCCGTGAAGTCTGAAGTGTACCTGAAAGGGAAAACCCGCTGGCTTCGATATCCCCTGGAAGTGGTGAGTTGAGCAAGTTGAGCCCCCGTTTTGGTTGCCTGGGTATCGATACCAAAAAAGCCGCCAAGGGTGACCATGGTCTCAAACAGAAGCTCTCAAGTGAGAATCACCCGGCTGGCCGGCTGGACTGCGAGCGAGCAAGGCACGTGATGTTTTCGCTTCGGAACAGACGTGCTCATGCACAGGCCCAACTCGAATGCCCTTTGCAAGCCAGAGACGAGGCCACTTGCGCAAAGCTAAAAGTCACCAGCGAATGGCTGAGTCGGAAACGTGGAGCGACGCGGTGTTGCGTCCCTCTGAGCCAGGACCACAGACGTAAGTTTGCTTCATGAGCTGCCGTTTGGTTTTCTCTGCCGGGGAGCGCCCCAATATCAGACAGTCCTGGCGAGGACTTCGAGCACTCTTCGCGTGACGGCTAAGACTCTAAGAAAATGGCTGGCCAGGAATCCCGGAATATGGCGCTCTGCTTGGCACATTGACAAACCTCGAGTGGCACTCAGACTCTGGATATCTCTTCAGATCCCAGCTTACACGACCCAATAGTTTGAGGGTCAGCTCAAGCAGAGAGCCTTCAGTGCAGTTCCAGGTCCCAACGCCCTAAGCAATTGTCCCATGGTCAATCTTTGCGTAAAATAGTTCGAATTAGTTGCACCGAGCCTGACTCAAGAAGAGCCGCGGGAAGACTGGTGCTCCCAAAGCAGCTGTTGCTCGGCTCATACCCTCTCGTTGAACACGCGTGTCCAGGGAGCAAAAATGAAGCAAACCCGTCGGATTGTGCATTGATCTGGGTGTCTCAAAAAGCATTGGCTTGTATTTTTCTCTCCGAAAACCCCCAATGCAGGGGCTGTTCTCTTACATCCTTCCAACCGATACGACAGCTCTGTGCCTGTTTGCGCTGTGTTCAATCTCGGTGTTCCGAGCACCTAAATGTGGGATTTTCCAGACGTCTGGTCACAAGGACTGCGGTTCGTGGCTAACAAGAACTAATGATCCGACCACACGAGATCCGGGCATGCGAAATGATAAGAAATTCGGAAAAGCCTGAGTCAGAAAAAGACTTTGCAACTGGCGAGTTCCTTGAAGACGCCCTTGGTAACCATCGGTCACTTCTTGATGGTGCGCAAGATGCATGTTGTTGCTAGCTGCAAGTCCCTGCCAGCTTCGCAATTTCATCGGCCGCTCGATCGGTCAATCAAGATCGGCCTTTCTGGTTGACTGTCGCAACGCCTATGGCAACGCCAGCAACATCTAGGAAACCCAGCTTTTTGCATAAATGGAGCATCATTGACTACGCAATCCACAAGGCTTGAATTCCAACCATTCTGTGGAGGGGCGATAACGCACTGCCTGTTTGCTCTGAGGGAAAATGATGCTCGGAAACTGCATTCCTACGAGTCCGGCTCTGGAAGCACGGCCAGAGATCTGTGCTGTGCCATTGAATCCCAAGATATCGCTATCGGGGGGATGGGTTTTTCAGGGGTTCCCTGTTAAACATCTCACCTATGCCTGCTTCAGGTCAGATTTCAGGGGATGAAGGATGCTACAAGTCTATGCGGATGGCTTGTTTCCAGGAATCCACAGGGCAAAGTGTAGGGCCAATCCGACTTCCTGCAGAGGTGAACCCCGTGGCAGTGAACCTGCCCTTAGTAACCAGGCGCTTGCCAAACAACATGTCCAACTCGGGGATTTCTCGAGCCGCTTGAAATCCCTTGTTTGTTTCTGTTTTTTGACTACCCCAAAGTATACTGAAACCCTAGGGCTTCGTTTCTCTGAAAATTCAACCATCAACCACCCCCTGGGGTTCCGTTTTTGACAGCTCCAAGGTATACTCAAACCCTTGGGCTTCGTTTTGTGAATATTCAACCACCCTGGGTTCAAGCCTGCCTTTGGGCAATCCAAAAAATGTGAGCCCTGATTCCGTTCCAAGAGCCGGAGCCGACCAGGGCCCAAAGCCATGCGAATCAATGAGGTCGCGCCACACCAGCAGAGCTGGCTCTATGCGAACCCTCCCAGTTGATTCAGTGGAATGAGAGATGGTGGTGCAGGATGTGCGTTAAACGGGCTTTGCCTTTCGGCTGGAGAATTTTGGGACCCGCTAGAGGTGTAGAATCCCTCAGGGGTTCCTCTATTTCCCTTCTAATCCCAAGGTCCAAAGGCAAGCCCCGTTGCCTCGCGCGCGGTGCAGCGGAATACAGTCGGCTCTCAAAACGCCAAGTGCTCTCCGACTGTTCCGCTTCACCTTCAGAGTCTAGAGCCTAGAAAGCCCCAAAGCGCGGAATACGTTGCTAGCCTCATCAGCAGAGGGTGCATGCGGAGACGGCGCCGAAAGCCCAGCTTGCTGATTCTACGGAACGCGGCCGAATGTCCACAGAACAGGGGACTGTGGGAGTGCGTGTTTTCCCATGCTTTTGTGGGATGTGTGGCAAATTGCAGTGCTGTCTTTCGTTTGTTCGGGATACGTGCAAGTTGAAGTCTTTTCTCGCTTCGGAGTTTCTAAAGAAGTGTACAAACCTCGAGAAAAACCAACAAAAACTTCATTGGCAGCCCTGCCCAAAGCCAAAAACCAACAAAAATGAGAAGTAAAGAAAAAATGAAACACACACAAACAATGAATCTTAATCTTTTGCTGGCCTGCGTCCAGCACTTGTTCGATTGATACCCTGGAGTAGAAGGAGGCTTTTTTTTCCCCGCATCTACTTAGTCCATATGTTTGTCCATGAGAGTCAATGCCCCCAACCCGTTAGACGCGGGATTAATGTCGCTTGAGTATCCTGACCTTGCGGTTTACCGGCATATGGCAGCTCCAGACCAAACGCAGCTTTTTAGAGGCAATTTCTGAAACCTAGCCTATGTTGGAAAGCCTCCCGAAAAGGCGTTCACCAGCCTAGGTAATTCAGACCCTTCCGGCGGTGTGGTCTGGTGGGGACAACAGCTCCGCCTTGGCTTCGTTGCGTGGCATGCTGTATTGCGTTGCTTCCTGCTCGACAGCAATGCGTCGTCTGCATATTCAAGGTTGTAGGTAGGCCCGCTGACCATGCGTTGGAAGGCAACGTCGATGGTCGAAAGTCGGCGCGCGCAATGACGCATAGGTGTGGACTGAGTCGGTAGGCTTGGCATACGCCTGCACCAACTGGGCAATGAGGGAGAGATAGTTCCGTTGGACCCGAATCTGGCGAGCGCGTCCATGATTGCGGTGTGGTCAAGCGAGTCGAAGGCTCGTCGCCAATCAAGGACTAAGAGGTGCATGCGAGCGTTAGTTATGTTGGATCACTCCATGGAACGGAAGAAACTTTACCTGCGCGGAAGCCGCACTGTGTGGTTCGAAGTCTGAAGCATAGCTGCGAAGATATTGCGCGTGGTGTTTAATAACGAGATAGGACGAGAGAGGTGTCGAATTATTTTCAAAATGCTGACAACGGGCCTCCTTCCATGGGTGCGGGATACTTTGGGCCGACGTTTGGTTGTGCGAACTACGGCCGGTGGCGGTGTGGTCTCCCTGGCCCAATTGGGACTGCCCAAGATGGTTTTGTATAGCCTTGCGTTTTTGGCCCAATCTTTGGCACGACTTCTGAGTGACTTGGCGGTGTCTTGACACGTGGAGGGTGTCAAGAGCGGTCTGCGAGATCCGTGGAGCGCTGGCTCAGCGAGCCTGATGGGGAAAGGCGCTGGTAGCCGCACGGAGGGCCCATGGGTGTCCTTTTGGGGAAGTATATCAAATACATGGCCCTGGTAGATTATTGAACCACCAGGTAAACCAGGAATCGCCCAAGCGACTTGTTTTACTAGAACCAACAAGGTCAGCTCTGGCTCGGAGGGCTGTGAACTTTGGTCGGCGGGCGCGGCCTCCGTGAGCCGACCTGAACGTTCGCCAAACGCGCGGCGTGCCCGTGCGCCATGATCCACGGAACCTCAACACCTGTATCTGCCCTTCACTATGACAAGTGTTGCCTCGCACCTCGTATTATTTGTGTCTCTAAACAAAACAGTACCCCGCTAAACTAAGGGTCCACCTCGCACCTCGTATTTTGGGGCCCCAAAACAGCCAACACGCAAGCAGAAATGGCTGGGATTTGCGAACTCGATGCCCGTGGGGGCAGTTCGTGCCAGGTGTTTTTGAATCGCTTTTTCTCAATCCTGTGCGTCTTCAAGCTTTTTAGGGCCAAATCAGCAAGATTGCCGGGATTTGCCAACCTGCGTTTTCAAGCGTGTTGTGGCCAAAGAAGCAGAAATGGCTGGGGGGGGGGGCGGGGGGTAAGAAGGTGACGAGCCACGATTCTTGCTGGAATCGAAATTTGAGAAACCTGATTTCGGAAACCACCTGCAATTCGGGGCTCGCCTGGGGCTGGTGGGCTTGCTATGAATTAGCCGGCTTTATCACATTCTACTCAATTTCCAACTGCATGTAAATTGAAATTGCAAAAGCAACCATCCGATCAGAATTGATGCTTGAATTTTCGAAATGTGTGTCATTATTCCATACTAAAATCTATACAGGATTCCTTTTCAATAGAATTGTACTCACAAATCAATCAATATGAAGACATGTCATTCAAACAGAGCTCAAACTAAACAGTTGCAAACAACATAGCAAAATGCGACCTCCCACAGTCCCCAGCTCTCAATTTCAGCGGGAAGGCAAGGGCTCTGGAGACCAGCCCCCGACTCTTCTGAGCCCCTTGCTCAACCAAAAAAACTGGTTCAGCACCCAAGTACTGCCAGCAAAACGGCGCGTGTATCCGAGGGAATCCTCGGAAGCTTTGCAAATGTGATCTTTTGGCTGGCCAGGTACTCTTTGAGGGGCTCTGCTTTAGCGCCGATTTGAGTAGTCCTTCGGTGCTGGCGTTGCTCTTCTAATGGCCCAAGATCGGTCCGGCAGGTCAAAATTGGGGCGGCCTAGTTGAATGCCTCCCCGGGCGGATCTGCCGGTCCGCTCACAAAACTGCTGTTTTCCTAGGGAGCTTCCCGTGCGCTCTAGAAACTCTGCAGTTCTCACACCTGATGGTGGTTCCTCGAAGCCCCTTCCGCAAGCCCGTTCAGCACCAGGTCCGTGGCCGAGGTGATCTCCTCCAGGCTCGCCATTGCCACCAGCTCCACCTCCGCAGTCGTCAAAGCCTCACTCCCCTCCCAAGTGGTCATCTGCACCTGGAAGCCGGCCTTGACCTGCTGGGACTTGGAGTCGACACAAAACTGCGAAGGGAGGAGCTTGGCCCAGTGGAGCGCCAGGCAGAACAAGGCCAGGGAGACATCCCTGGCCCGAAGGTCCCCGGCGGCCATGGCCAAAACCTGGGCCAACCGCATCATCTGCTGCTCCATGCCTTAGCTTTGTGTTTTGTTTAATTGGATGTGACACGTCCAATAAGAATCCACTTGTCAACACCTCAAGACCTCACCTCTAGTGTTTTCTTTAAAAAAATATGGATGTGAGACGTCCCATAAGAATATCAATTTGTCAACGCCTCAAGACCTCTAGTCTTATGGCAGGCACCCCGGCCAAGATGCAGGAGACGATGTCCTGGTGGGCATACTTGGTGAGGATGTTGAGCCGCGGCCAGTACAAAGCAAGCCACTTCTCCACGAAGGGCAGGTCGAGCGTCCAATTGAGGTGAAAGAGGACGTCCTTCTCATGATCCTCGAGGGTCCGCTTTGTCATGTCGGGAGTCACCCTGTAGCCCAAAGACTGCATGTACTGCTCCAACTTTATGAGATTGGGCACCCAGCTGTCGTGGTCATGACCGCGAGAGGAGCCATCATGCTTCCACGCCAATCGGAGAATTGCGATGCACTTGGCTGGCAGCATGCCGATGATCACGTCCGTGCTGACCCCTTCTTGACTGATCCGTGACAAGTAGGTATTCATGATGGTCACGGCAAGCGACCAAATGCTCTGAGTCATCCTCCTTTGCGCTGTGGCAATGAATAGAAGTCGCAAGAGCAGAGGGCGAAGCCCTGGTGGCAAACTGAAGGACGAGGGAAATAACAGTGGTCCCATTTCCCGCTCCTTCAGCTGCTCGATACGTTCATCGGCAACGCCGTTCCGGTCGAGCTGGTCTTCTTGATCATCGCTCCACATGGGTGAGCTGACACCCAACTCAGGCGTCACAGCCTGGACACTTGTGTAAGCAGTGACAGCCTTGAGCATCGCCTCCGTGACCATGGGCGACATTGGGCTCACCAATGAAGTGCCAACGCCAAATTAGCCACCAAAGGCAACTTCTAAGGCACAGCCTGAGCCCAAAAAAGCAAGCACCACTTGGCGGAGTTCACGAGTTCAAATCTCAGGTTGAAATGTGCAATCGGGACGCCAGAAGCATCGCCACGCTGAAACATCTCAAACTGCAAGACATGGCCAGTCCCCCGCCACCAACCCCCCCCCCGCCGCTTTTAGGAGGTCGCCCCTTTTTTCATGTATTTAATTATTTTTAAAAAAAGAAACAAAATCGCAGGCCACGCGAACCACGCGGCACGAGTTCTGAGCGCACTTCTCGCTCTTGGACAGCAGCGACAGCCCGAGGCACGCCCAGGGGCCGCAGGTGCTCTCGCAGCTGTCCGCCCCGCTGGTGAGATGGAAGGCGCCTGCCACAAACCGCCGCGCAACCGGCGGCCATGCGCAAAAAAACGCGCCCGAAACAAACCCCAGAAACGCGGAAGGGGTCGAAGATGCGTGAGAAGGGGAAGAGAAGTGTCTGTGCCCCTGTTATGATAACTGAATTCCCAACCTGAGAATTTAGACCCTTATATTTGGCCTTATTGTCTTCTTTCATGTTCATAGTAGAACCATCTATGAAGATGGCCACGGGGGGTTGGGGCGCGGCTCACGTGGGCTTGTCTCAAATAGGAGGGGATATGGAGCTGCCAATATGGGCATCGCGCTTGCTCGCGCGCGGGCAGGCGAGCACCTGTGCGTGCGTGCGTGCGTGCGTGCGTGCGTGCGTGCGTGCGTGCGTGCGTGCGTGCGTGCGTGCGTGCGTGCGTGCGTGCGTGCGTGCGTGCGTGCGTGCGTGCGTGCGAGCGTGCGTGCGTGCGTGCGTGCGTGCGTGCGTGCGTGCGTGCGTGCGTGAGTGCGTGCGTGCGTGCGTGCGCGTGCGTGCGTGCGTGCGTGCGGGCGTGCGTGCGTGCGTGCGTGCGTGCGTG